CACTGCATCGACGCCTTACCCACAGTCCATAAACTGTAACTGCCTGATAAGCTTGTAAAATGGTACTTATAGAAATAGTGTTTTCCAACAGGTTGTGAAACAGAGGATTGTGTGAGGTATGATATATATCCAAGAATAAGCTTAAATGAGCCTAACATCACAAAAGGAGGGAGGGTGGAGTTACTGACCAGCAAGCATTGATGGTGAGGGCGATGACTTCAATCCACCCGTGTTTGTGGGGCAGAACATTTTGTATGTATCAGGCTCTCTATGATTGAGCATAAGTCAATCAATCTGTGATATAGATTGTCATCTTACACTCGCCAATCAGACTCATGTTTCCAATTTTATGCTGGATTAGCTATTCTATTAAGACAAATGATAATGCGCTAACTCGGACTTTTACACATGGATTGTGTGGCTGGCTGTGGTGTTTGAATAAACTATTGACTCCTTTGTATTTGTTGAATGTTGGATTTCGAATTCGAAATACACTACATTCGTTAGTGCTTGTGTGGTACTTCTTAATTCAATTGCGTTATCCCTGGGATTCTTAGTTCATACTATAATTCAATTACTTCTAATTATCATACTGGCATCGGATGAAAAAAAAGACAGAAAGAAAAAATCAGACAACAAAAGATATAGTTATTAATATTTTCAACACTTAACCCTCTATATGCACACTCCCTTCTAATAAACAACTTTCCCTGTACCAACCTTAACTTCCCTTCCTTCATATGAGCTTAATCCAACTTGTTAAACATCACAATTCATTGTTCTTTATTACTACATTCTCTTGAATGGAGCCTCTGACTTTATTTCACTCTAACAAGAGATAATATGAATTTAATCTAATTTATTATACCTTTGTCTGTTCTACTTAATGTTAAGCAACGTTTGGAGTCCATATCCAAGTGCCTTGTTGCTCAGCAGTTTCTCTTTTTTATTTTTTTTAGAATCTTGCTCCGAGGGCACAGCTATGGAACTTCTAACGTCTGGAACAAACTTGACGTATGAGTCAACTCAAGGCCATGGTTTATAACAAGCGCTCTACGAGTGTACTTTATAACAACTATAAACTTAATAAGTTAGGAAGCATGCTATGCTCCAACAAATGTTATAATTTGTAGATCATGCCTGTAAAAATGGCGTGTACCTGCTCATGCAGAAATATATTATTATTATTATTATTATTATTATTATTATTATTATACATCACACGAGTATTGACGACCTTTCGATGTGTCGATTACCTAGGCTCAAAAACCGTCGTCCTTGAGAACTCGGATGACCTACAATATCTTGTCGTCAGACACGACTATATGTCTACCTGCACTTTGGGAAGTGCACCAGTCAGCTTCTGGAAAGCCATCGAACACCCAATGGGGATTCATGTCGTACACAGTGTATAAGAACAGTAGCAATGACTGAGGTTCAATTGGTGATTATCGAGAACTAAACACGGGAACAACTTCTTGCCGTTATCCCAGATTCATGACCTATCACTTACCCCTAAAACCACGGACATCATTTTGAAACATAATCGTTAGTAAAGAATGCGACGAAACCCCCATCAACTTCGGATGATACCATCAACACTCCCTTACAAAACTAGTAATCCCGGTGCGCGTCTTCAGGTTTAAAAAAGTGCTCAGTATTTCTAGTGATCCATCGTCTCCAGTGATCTTGCCTTTCTGGCTGCGCATATTGATGACTGCTTTTTTGTAAGTTTAAACAAAGGATGCTATCTCTAGTATATGTTCCTTGCTTTTCAACAGCGCTAATAAAATGATATTACTGTTAACATTCAAATATTTCAAAATGGGACAAATGCTATCGATTTCCTCGAGGAAGCTAGTGACGTTGAATGTATTTACCCTCTGGAAATAAGAGACGGAATTGCAAGTTACAATGAGGTAAACAAGGTATCTGCAGATTTCTTTTCTACGATAAATTTTATTTCTAAACTCACTCGGCTGTAAAATAATACATTGATTTTTCGCGTGAGTTGTTATGGTCTTTCAGAAAAAAATTATTTATACATAGGTGTTGTGAAGAAACCATTTTGGGTCTCATCACACATGTGATTACTGACAAGTCTGATTAAGGTTTATATGATATACAAGAATTTTTAACAAGCTTACCAATATTTAGAAAATTAAGTAACGTCGAAGAATACGTGGGAATGTTTGAGTTTGTTCATGAAAGAACAAAAATAAACAGTACTATATACATTACAAGAATTTAAAGTATATTATTATTGTAGTAAGAATTATTAGTTGCGAGTCAAAACGATTAACAACGGTGCGAGGAAAGACTTATGGCAGGGCAACTTTGCTTGGTACGGAAATAACCACGCCCCAGTGTTAGCTGCCAAGAATCTCAGGTGATTAGATATAGTAAACATCCCTTAAGATGTATAAATCCTGATACTCACTTGGACCACGTCCATCTTGATTTGATAGTGAACTAGTTCCGCATGATGGCCAGAAACAATACCCATCAACGGCGCTGTGGCTCGAGTACAAGCCCACACCTTTGCCGAACGATGGATCAAGATTTTCGGGTACCCTATGACCATTCCTAAAGACCTTTGATCCCATTCCGGATTTATATATTTTATTTTGAATGAATGGGGATCTGAACTATTGACCGGGCTAGCTAACAAACACCATGTATTCAGTTGAACTTGTTCCCATCCGATCACAATCAAATGACTTCTTCGTCCAACCAGCCTCAAGAGTTAGTACACTCATTATGCAAACCCGTCGATACTGTCTATCAAGGACCACATAAAGCTCTTTATAGTGAACGGAAGTATTATACTGTCAAGAAGAACAGAACAGGCGACGTCAGCACCGACCGAGTGAAGAACAATTACCATCAAACTTTCTACTACACAATTTCCGATATTATGAAACAAACACGATAATCATCTATCAAAAGGAAACACCTGACATTCGGACTAAGTCGAAATGTTCTGAGAGAAACGGAAAATTCACAGGACCCCTAAATGACTTTTGTGTATGTGTATTTTCTTACATAAGGTTAGCATTTTAACAGACAAATTAATATAATAGCGGATACTTGAGACAATTCCTGTCCTGTAGATTGTCATCACGTTTATAATCGATGATTTTCGCTGAATCATTGTACCGTGACAACAGTTGGCATATACCAAGAAGACTGACGGTAAATTAATCCTTGTATTATAGCTGAGAAAAGTTCGTGATGAAAAACCCACAGATTCATATACATAAGTTTGCAATCAATGTCATCTAGACCTCAGATCTTTGCGTAAATAAGAATATTTAACCTTCCAAATGTTTTATACTATCCATCATCCGATGGTTGAAATGGACTGATATGATTAAAAAGAAAGGATTGAAGTGAATGATTTGAATAGATAACTAATATTATTGAGTTCTCCGGCACAATCAGCTACTCTCAATAAGGTTCGAATAGCCTTACAAAACAAAGAAAGTTTGTACCTTACCGTCACTAATCATACAGATTTATTGAATTTGTAGTTCTGGTTTGCTAACTTTCCTGAAAATGCTATGACTATCTTTCAGTATTTTACAACGTATGACCAGGCACATACATGCATCACCTAGTCTCCAACCGGTGGTTGTGATCGTGAAGTGCATCTACCAACATGACACAAACAAGTTAGTGACTTGAAGCACTGATGCCACGTCTGACTTCGGCCGCCCTTAACTTTCTTCCAACCGTCTACAACACTAGTCAACATTGTGCGTCGTGGTAATCGGTGTTTGGGCATGCGTGATACGTGGCCCAATCATCTGTCAATGTAGGTTCGCAACCCCATCAATCGATTCACCATCATTCCTTAATGCCATGCGTCTAAACTCACTACTACTTACCCGGTGATCCCAAAAGATGCGAGCAATATTTCTAAGACATCTGTGGTCGAATAGAGGGGGAGAAGCGCATCCCAAACATTCTGGCATTGTTGCTCAGTGCTACTAAGAGACTGCATTTTATCGGCGTCTTCACCAAACAGGACTATATCATCTGCGTATTCCAAGTCGATAAGTGGACTTCCTGGTGCGATATCGATTCCTGAGAATCCAGTCGATGAGAGCGTTATTTCCATCAGTAGATCTATGATGAAGTTAAACAAAAATGGAGAAAGTGGACAGCCTTGGCGGACACCACTTGAGGTTGCGAAAGCAGATGACAGTTCGCCATAAGCTCTCACTCGACTAGTAGTGTTCGAGTAAAGAGCCTTCACAAGGTTTATGTATTTCTGAGGTACGCCTTTCAATGACAGACACTGCCACAGAACCTCTCGGTCTACAGAGTCAAATGCTACTTTTAGGTCAAGAAAGAACACTATTGTCGGACGCCGACAAGTATGCCTGTGTTCTAGAACCTGACGAATGGTGAATATGTGGTCTATGCATCCACGACCAGGTCTGAAGCCAGCTTGATTCTCTCGTGTTTGCAGTTCACGAGTCTTAGTTAGGCGTCCGATAATTATCGAGGCTAGTATTATAGATACTTTATTAGTCAAACTAATCCCTCTATGGTTGTCACAGGATGATTTTGACCCTTTCCTATATATTGGGACAATAAGTGACTGCGAGTGTCTTTCAGTTGATTATTTGGGATTAACTTAATAATGTATTCAAACTAATGCTGAAACGTTGAAAAATAATGAACTGCGTTACAGCCTAAGATTTTAATACCAAGTAATAAATATTTGAATTCAGCTGGAGGTTACTGAAACGCTACAAGTACGACATGTGTTTTCATAATCACTTTCGCATCAACCTAGTTTCAAATTTACATAAGGGTTAGAAATTATCGGAAACAACATGGTAGATTATACTGGTAAAGCTATGTGCCAACTGTTTATGTGGACTATCAGAAATCAGAAAAAGTGCCATGCGCAACACACATGAATATGTATTGTAATTAAAAAAGTACAAGTAATCTTTAGAAATAATGCATACAGTAAACACCGTTAATCAAAGATAAAGACTAGCTGCAAAAACAATATCCCGTTTGATTTTTTCGATAGCTAAAACAAAAGGGAGATAAATACAGAAAATTATCATTTTAAAAAGCGAAAATATACTGAGAACAATTAGGATTAGAAATTTTTATTGGATTACATTACAAAAAGTAGTCGTTAGAGACAATTCATACTTATAATTTCAAATATCCTTCATTTTCACATACTTTATCATAGTAGACGGATATTTGGGGAGAAAAAAGCAAGATCATGTCACATTTCCCTATTGTTCAAAGGATCTTTCGCTCTTATTTAAGTAGTATATTTACGGCACACACTGCACATAACCCTTTTCATGTTGAAATTAATCAAAAGAATCAAATAAAAAATATTCACCCCCAATGAATCATGGAAAAAACACTATAATAGTTTTCCCGATTGTGCAGCTTATTAAAGACGTAAACCTACAACTTTGAATGCAGCTACTAAATTCGAAGTGTTTCTCATGTTTATGATAAAAGAAATCACAAACGAGTTGAAACGTACGTATGATTTTGGCAAGTATCATGCATCACTAGCACCACAACTGTAAATATTTTCAATTTTTCTTACACTGAAAACGGGTTCAATACATCTAGAATTTATGTAGCCGACACTACTCAGTACATTACTTTATGTCATAATAAGCAATAAAATAAAGACACAATAACTACTAACCCTCAACAAATTTCTTTTCCAAAACATTGCTACCAATTGTTCGAGCTGCATTGGCCATTTGCCGTAATAACTCTTCAAGTAATCTCAATGTACGAATAATTGTGCCTTCAAACAAGTCTGTCATAGAACAAACGCTAGCAAAGGATGCTCCTCTTGTCCATGCATCAACAAGATCCATTAAATGAGGTTTAAATGAATCCACGTAATTATCTTCATCAACTGGAAGACGACATTCGTTACTAATACGTGCAATACGTCTGGCTGTATCCTATGGACAAATAGATATTAAATTAATCGAGATGAAAAGTAAAACAAACAAATTTTCCTTTATATAACCATAAAAACGAACTCAAGCAACGTGTAATATTTTTCCCCTGCATTTTTAGATAGATTCATAAAGAGATGAATTCAAAATTTCGCCCAAACACAATTTAATATCCCTCATAGATATCGAGGGAAACACTAATTTATATGAAGTTAGTGAGTTACAGTTGGAATATTTTTGAAACACAGGAACAACAATCACACCAGTAAAGTATCTTAATTGTAAAGAGAGACAGTTACAGTTTAAATCTTGGAATTTGTGGATGTAATTTAATACAACACAGACTTGATGAAAATTCGAGATACAGTGATGCGCTGCATGACTTATTACACGTTAAATAGTTGAGTTACTATGTATATATAGCTTATTTTTAACTACAAATAATTAGATATAAAAAGTAATGAACAACAACCAATGATGAAGTAAAAGTATACAAAGGTATCCAGTTAGTTTGTGAGCAAGGAAACGTGACAATAACTGTATCCCGAAAGTGAAGTAGGTGGAAAGTGATTTGAACATAGTTCAACGGTAACAAGTAGCGTGCTTTAACCAATAAGCTATCCCTCACAAACGGTGACGACATTACTACACTAACTCTACAGGTCCAAGTAAACTGGGTGTAAAACTTTAAACATTAAGATGAGTCAAGTGTTTATTACAAAATATGAGACAGTAAAGTAAATTACAGTTATATTTAAGGAAATGATGGAAATCAGGTGGTAAAATTGTCAGTTAACATGGTAAAAGACCGACTCGGTTCACACAGAAATTCTAAAATAATCTTATCAGTTTAAGAAGTTGAGATCTCGTCAAGATATTACTAGCGGTTTTACATGTGTAACTCGACTTATTCTAAGAGCTAGTTAAAATAGTTTTAAAAATGAATATGCTGAAAAGACAACTCTATGATGAACTAATTTTTGATATTTTAAATTGAATCAACTCATGCATTTAAAAATAGTGTTGTTCATATAATTATTTAGGAGCCCTATTTTAACGTTATCAGCAACAGTACATAATTTTCATGATAGCTTGGAAGCCAATATCTGTGTTTAACCATTAAAACTTAGATAAATCTTCAGAAGAGAAAAAAATGTGGAAAGTAGGTTACTTAACTGGGAAATAGTGGATTATATTTGAATAAATTTAAAAGATTACACATTTAATTCCAACCATAACTTCGGTGCTGATTTCAGTCTCTGAAAGGAGTACGAGTGATGTTGAGATTCAGAATGATTGTTAATCAGTAAGATGCATAAATTTCGACTATTTACATCTGGTATTTTAGACTATTTAAAAAGCACATGTGGGTGTTAGTGATACTACTCAGCTATCCAAACTCAAGTCGATGAGATGGGGTTCGAATTTGAGACGTATTGGTTGGAAGCTGAATGCATTACTACTGATGATAATCTAAAATAATTTCATAGTAAGCGAATAACAAGTGCAAAACAAATGAAATTCAGAAAAAAGTTTGACAGTTATCTCATCCGATTTTTAAAATTCTCACCACTAAACACTTACTGACGATATACAAAAGTACCAAGAATATGATCTACAATGACTTACTTGTAATGTACGCAGAGCATCAGATAATTCCTTAGTTAATTTGGGCATTTCCGAAGCTCTTTCCTCAAATACAAAGCAAGAAAGTAATGCTGCAATATGCTCAGATGACAGTCTATTGAATACCCCATCAAATAAAAGTTCTGTTAATAATAACTCATCTGCTGAGGTGATTTCACAGGCTACACAACCTTTTAACTCGATTACGTCATATTCAGAAACGAAATTTAATCGTCTTAATACACGTTTACGAGCCGATAGTTCTTCCAGTTGAATTAAAGAAACTTTACTATTCAGATTGGCTGTAAGAGCATCGATACGTTTGCGAAGTTGCTCTTTCTTTCTATAAACTTTTGAAAGTTCTGAAAGACGTGGGTCATCATGAAGCCAATGATGCTGTAGTCTCTCTTGAAAAGCAGTAACTTTCTAAAACACAAAATAATTCACAAGGTTGTGAGGTAATGTATTACTCAGATTTGTATGCAGATTAAAATATTAAATACAGACTCACTTACAAAAAATATATTGAACGGGAATAAATAGAACCAAAGCATGGAAATAGAATAACCCTAGATTTAATAGACGATTGAGGATAAGTGAAACTTAAGAAATTACTCAACGTCTATAACCATAAACTACAGTTATAAGCATAAGCTGTCCAGCTTTTTCAAATTAATTCTACAGTGTAAAGATGAGTGACCCTTATTGAGAAGCCGCAAAAGACGATGCAGCTACCCAGTACTTCCCAGTCTGAATGCTACTTTTTCTTACCGATGGTAGTCGGTAATAATAACTAGCTCCAAAATAAAGAAAAGTTTTAAAATGTACACATTTCTTTATACTTACCTCATTTACTTCCAGGAATCGTGGATCACTAATGTGCATATCTGCAATAGGATCTAAAACTGGCAAACTACCACCCATACGTATTTTCACCTTTTCAATTGCATTTAAAACACCTTGTCTAGCCTCTTTTGAACGAAGATCATTTGGGACAACTAAACGTACAGCACTAATACCAACAACACAATCTAATCGTACAGGTATAATCTCAGCCATCGATGAGGTATCACTACTAGTAGCAGTAACTGAATTTGAAATTTCCGAGTTATCTACTACATTCCCACTAGGTACATCACAACCAGATTCATCTGCATTCGATCTAGATGGATTTGTGCATAATAAACAATCAAGTATATAGAATGATTCAGGTGTAGATGATCTATCTTTACGTTGACGTTTTTTCAGATTGATCACAGCTCCCCATCCGTACGAGATGGATTGAACAACAATCTATTAAAGAAGAGATAAATAGAAGTTTGACAAAAGAAATATACAGACGTAAAGAATACCAAGACCTTTGATCATTATTATTATTATACACTCTAAGAATAATTATAGGCACATTAACAGAGTGAATTAAGTTAAAAGCTTTAATCATTGCTAATTATCCTATGAGATGCATAGTTCTAAACAAAATTAGTCATTTTAAATAAATTTGTTATATTTTGAAAACGGATCTCCTCATAACAACCTACACTTGACTTGAATAAATGACTAAAAATCACCCAGATATATTCGATGCATGACGAACTAGCAGAGTGCTATACAATTTTTAAGATTAGTCTTTCCATGATTATCAACTGAAGAAACATCAAATTTCCTTGTCAGTGACCTTCTCTATACATCTACAATAAAACCAGTGGAGAAAGGAAAACAAAAAAACACACATAACACCACTTTTCAGCAAATACCACAAATGATTGACAAACATTCATGTTATGAGACATTAGAAACAGTGTACTCTGAGACTAATTTACTGAAAGTAAATTATCGTCTTGACTGTATCACATTAAATTTAGTTAAAAACTGTCATTTATGATAAGCAACCGTGTGTAATCAAATCTGAAAACACCGTTTTTGAAAGATTCCACACATACGTACGTATCTAGAGTAAAAAGATTTAATAACTTCCGATCAGAATGGTATCAATCGTTACACGGTTACGGGAGAATATTCATTTTGTAAAGCTGCAAAACATTTCTTTCAGTATACGAAAAAAACATCTCAAGGATTTAATAAATGGAAAATTTGACATAAAATATAGTGTACTAGTGTTATATCGCCCAGCTTAATAACCATATATGATTTATTGATCAATTTAATTATCTTCGTACACATGATTACAGCATAGTTTTAATTACTGTTTAAAGACAACTTGAAATTATTTTACTGTCTGTAGTTAGTCTACTCGGAATATATATATATATATATATATATATATATATATATATCCATGCTTACTTTAACAAGACGACCTGGTTGAAGAAACGGTACTATGTACTGTGGACGTCTTATATACTGCCACTGCTGTCCAACTAGTTCATCGAAGCATAATTGAATTTGATGATAGGATTCTACGGATTCTTCATCGTCAACAACAGTTGATGCATAAGTGGCACGTAATTCATTCAGTTCTAAAAGTAAACAAAATAAACATTTTCGAAAAAAACTACATTTTGAAATAAGCTTCATTGAAATAGGGTGGTGGGGAACTAACTAATGCGAGAGGTAAGGAATTGCAACATTCATTAGTGATTATGTAAATTTGCATATTTTGTAACTGTTTTGTAGTAGTAATTACAAATCACTCGATAACTTGATATTGTTCTTTGAGTTCACCATAGTGCCCCAAATGCCCTGGTATGACCGAGAGTGAGGAGGTCCTCCCTCTCAAAATGCTCTCCCATGGCCACATGTATACAGCCTCTGACAGGGAAGTCCTGCTCACTGCCTTCTCGTTGTGGGGGTGTTATTCACGAAAGTGAGGACGAAAAGCGAATGCCCAGCGCTTTAACCGGGTCACAAACCAATGGTGCATATGGGCTCCAGTATCCCGAAGGAACAAATGGCGTATGAACCAATCGTTGGTCACCAGCTACCATGGGATTGCATCTCCTCACGATGCTCCACTGCCTTGTGGATCTGACCTTCAGGTCGAAGGCTCGGGATGTGGACCCCTAAGAAGACCACCTGCTTCGGTTTGGGCACTCGGGTAGTATCACAGCCCACACACAAATAAAATTTTGTGTGGCGCATATATATTTGGTGCCCTCTTCTACCGATACTTATGTGTTCAAATAAATAAATAAACCATAGTAAATAAGATCTAATGTGGGTATGAAGTAAATGATATAACTTTTGGAATACTGATAAATGTTCGCAATCAAAGGTATCAACCATGTTTGATTCCATATAACAAAGTATCCGTTTAAATTGACTAGCCGTTTTTGCCATGACAATAGTCTGAACTGTTTATTTTAGCTGCTTTGTCAATTTGTACTGTCAGCAACAAAAATATATCATAGTAAAAACCAGCTTACATTACTTGAAAAAAATGCATTGGTTTGATGAATGAAGTCATTAAGGAAGCGATGATTCAATCAGGTAGGGAAATAAGAAAAGATAATTTCATTTGAGAAGACAACCAAGTACAGTGTGAATTTGAAACTGTAAGCAACATTATATTGAATTCTTTAGTGTTATGTTTCACTAAAAAAGTAAATCTTTTTAAAATGAAGTTGTATATGTATGAGCGTTAATAAAAATAATGGACTTGATCTAGAATTCAATATATTTATCAACTTATTCGGGGTTAAGATAGTGAACACTTGGTGTGTCAAACGAAGGTATATGTGTTGGCAATAAGTGAGTTTGATTACAAGTTCCTACCAAATTATGCATATGTACATTGGAAGGTACTTACTTCCGATTCTTAATCTAGAATATTAAGCTTATCAGTGATAGACAAAAATGAATTATGCATAGGGATTTACAGTAGAAATATTAAAAAAACTTTGGAAGATATTTGATGATATACGACAGGAAGGGGGACTGATAGGTTGTTTTGAGGCCTGAAACGAAAATACTAGTAACGGTTAGTGTTTGCAATATCAAAATTATGCAAAACTAACAAGAAAGTTACAATTTTCACCATAAAAATCAAACATAATGGAGATTATCGAAGTAACTTTTGAATAATTAAGTCACCAGCATCGAAATAGCGGATAGATCAATGAAATGCTTACTGTGACACTTGTAAATCAAAATAGAAATATTTTATCTCGAATTTGAATTTTTGCTAAACCGAGTACAACTTGAGCACTCGAACGCTTGAACTCTCCAAGTCACAAGTAAGAAGACAGAAGGCGAGTAGAATGGAATCTTATTCTAACCAGTGTCAAATACGGTACAAAACGCTGTGGTATTTTTAATTCTTAGTAAAAACAAAATCAACATTATAATCAGTCAATCCGCATGTAGGTTTTTAGAATTTGCCCGATCGGGAAGCTACATGTAGAGATTCTGGAATGTTCTTCCAAACGATGACTGGATGGAATGCTTTCAGCTCTTTCAGAGCTTCGATGAATTCATCGGGAGACGTCCCGACAGAAAACAGAATGAATTGTTTTACTATTCATAGTTCAAAAAAATTTTTATAGAAAAAAGGTATAAGAATGTATAAACAACTTGTAAACCTATCCAAATAAAACTGATATTTGTATCAAATCAACACTACCATTATACATATTAGGAAGACTGGCAAAATTTTGGAATTGGCAAAAGCTTCTCTCCATCATGTATTCTGGATTAATTTCTTCAACACGCAATAAATTTAACAGCATATTATAAGTGATATGAAAAGCTGAATTTAGTGGGGGTGGTGGACCCATCATAATTTGATGAGCTAGTTCACTGGTCATACTTTCATCAACCATTAGAATCACAGTACCACTATCATCTTTACCACGACGACCAGCACGACCAGACATTTGAATATATTCACCTGATGTTATCTATATGAAATAATTAATAAAATATTAGTTTTAAGGGTATTAATATCTTTTCAACAATGGCTTTTACAATTAATCAGTATCAGTAAAATAGCTAGTGAAAATTGATGCACTGAAGAGCTGATGCATAGTACATTGTTTGCTGTAGAGTATATACCCATGATGTCCATATAAAAAGGAAACAAACTCGATATCCCGTAGGTCATTTAATTCCTCTATAAAGTTTATAAACTCTGAAAGTTTTCTCCGGTTTCTTTACCGGTAAAAATATCACGAAGTAATCAGTCAACTATAGAAGACATGACTGTTCATTAAAATTCCACACATCTGTAACCTCTATAGTTATAGGGTTTATTCATAATTGATTCCAGATAAATATAACATGCTTCCAATCAATTCGAAATAAATATTTTCATGATGATGACGGTTAAGAGTAGAAGTCAGCCAGGAAATAGCCGTTAATCAAATACCTCTATTGGGAAAACAGCTGATATCAACTACCAGGAAAACTACAGTAACAAGTAACGTATATCCATTCAAGTGTTAAGTAAGGTATAATCGCGGTCACCAGAAAGGATCTAAGTGGATTCTTAGTACGAAAAGAAATATCTGATAAGAATGGAAATAAAATATAGTGCATAAACAAAGACTGTAGCTATAGCATTCAACAGTCAATGTATTTTAGGACAACCTAATAAACTGTCTCACAGAAGGGCCAGTAAATAATTAGGGAGTCGAATACTGACAAGATAAAAAGTTAATGATTTGACGTTTGACTGAATTAGTATTTAAATGTGGAAAACGTTAATTAAAGTTAAAATGAAGCTTGAGTCGTCCAAGTATTTGAATTAGAAAATTATAAACTATCAGTTGGATGCTTTTCTCAACACCTAGCATATCGCTGTGTAGCACGGACCGAAGTCCTTACAAATGAAAGAACAAATTTTAACAGAAGTGAACTGGTGGTTAACATTTGATCTGCTTTCTAAATGCTGGAAGTTGTGAGGAATGAAACACTAAACTAATATAATGTAGATCAAATATAAAATGTATTTCATTTTATTAAGTTCACTCAATGGATTATTGTTGGTTCATAGATGAGGAAATTATTATACGAGTATTTTTCTTGTGAATGATAAGCATTCATAAACAGACTTCATTGGGACCTATTCGATATCAAAAGATTTCTTATTCATCTTTGGTCGACAGCATAATATGAATATCTATAAAAATCTAGCTTTGACAATGAAAGTCAAACACTTAGTTAATTCTAAACAGCAGACGGAATTTTTATCACAGTATATCATCGGTGTTATAGCAATCTGGCTTTTAAGCAAACAACCTTAATAATATTTTAATACCTATTTAAAATAATTTATTTACTATAGATTTGCAACTTGGCAATGGGAATTATGAAATTTTTATAAACACGATATGCTTGATATATACAAACTTTTGAGTTTAATCAGGTTTATTTATTTACATGAGTCTTATGATATTTCCCCGCCCATGACATTTGGTTACTTCAGTAAGTTATTGATCACAGTTGACTCAATTTTACTTTATGTCTTTTAAGTATTTAACCCTTTATATGAAAGAAACTATATCTAGATATTATTTGATTTGTACAACATAGAAAGTAATGTTTTGGAGTGTTATAAATATAAACAACCATTGTGCAGTTTTATTGCACTTATAAAAAGATCACCTGGTAATATAAGTTGACGTAAAATGTTGATATCACCATGTGTTTTGCTTTTCCACTCTCGTATGTCCACTTATACAACAATGATCGAATAGAGCGGACTGTTATACAAAATACACGTTATGAATATACGAAAAAATTTTCATCTGACAGAGAAACAGAAAATCAAAATGATAGGAACCTTATACAGGAAAACAAAGGTATTCAATCTATCTGAGCATTATAAATTTTTCTTATAGAAGGAGATAAAAACATTGGAAAACTAAAGTAGTATAAGTTAGATAAAGGTGCTTAAGTAACAAACTTGACCAGAATATTACAGAGTAATAATAGTCAAACATACAAATTACAATGAGTGATAAGGAAAAAAGGTTGACTTTTTTAATTAACGTAGAATGTGATATAACTGTGAATCAGTTCAAACTGTAACATTTATAAGCAATTTAATATAATAGAAGCAACGGAAAAGAGTTAAATACGGACTAATGGTTGAATATAACGGAGAATAAATATCAGAACTACTGATTTCCTAATCATTCGTTTACACTTTGATAAAAACTAGTTTAAACTTCAGGATACAACTTATTCAGCAAGTATAGGTTTATGTACTTGGTTTTCAACCATATTTTAGATGTGAAGACTTCTGGTACTGAATCCACAAACCGGAGATGGGGTAGTGTTCGAAACCTTAGTCTATTAATTGACAATACGGTGTACGAATGACTAGGTCACTAATCCACTTTGCGATACAAATTACAGTGTATTTCATTATTTCACTAATTGCTTCGCAATTCGATCGAACGTAAGGGACGATACGGTGATACCGGTAATCAAAAACTAGAATTAACAAAATACATTATGGATATCCAGAAAAGGAAGAGCTACATACGAATGTTGGGCGATTTCATTTTGTTTATACGATAATGGATAAACAATCAGATATCATATCGAGGCTGAAACTAAAGTAATCCAGAAAATTTAGGTTAACTTTTATATCACGGGCCGATTCTATCAGCTACTCAAACTAAACATAGTTAGACAGACTGATATGTTCATCAGATTAATCTCTACATTTTAACCAGTAATTAGAGTATTCTTAAGATACGAGTTTCAACTTGTGATTGTAAAACTAACAGCAGTCACAGTTATTGAAGAGATTTAAGTATGGTGTTTAACGAATCAAGATATTACAATAAATGTACATCTTTAAAGAAAAAAAGACAAAAATATAATTAGGTTATTCGTAGTCTATATCTTAAAGCAAATCATAACCAAATTTACAGATTCTCTATGTAGACCACTGTGGTTTAGGATTAAACTTAGAAATTAACTATTATCTGAGGGTTTTATACTTTGCCAAACTTATCGAGAATAAGAGAACGAAAAAGGAACAACGGAATTGTTTTAGATAAGGTATGCTAAATATGTGAAATATATTATTTCGTCTTGATAATTGATTATATATATAAACTGGTTGGTTTGTAAAAACAATTATCTACAATATCTGCACAAAACTTTTATTCGAAGTTTAATTTCACACATTTCATCACATATTTTAGTATAGGTAAGAAGAATTCTAACACAAAAATAAACCGGTTAGATTGGAAGAAATTAGTCATGGAACGTGAGATATTCGTCGGTACAAATAATTTAATGACACATAATGGCAACATATCTTGCGGTCTTGTCTTTTGATAATACCCTAGTATCGATTTTCAATGGTTAAAAGAAATTCAGAAACAGATGAATATCGAATTAGATAGTTAAAGATTGTATCTACGTACCCAACGATAAGACTGTCCATCATATTTACGAGCCGAGGTGAACAGGACCGTTCTAGCAGGCATATTTAAACCCATGGCAAATGTTTCTGTAGCAAATAAACACTAAATATTCATATAAAACAATAAGCAAAAAATGTAGGGCTAACAGCAAATGGTTGAAAAGAATAATTATCGAAGTAATAATCAATACAGACTTTTGAAACCCACTCGCTTGTTAATATGCCATGATGCTGACTTAAGAAACATTAGAAATCTCCTAATTTCCGAGTTAATAACACCACATATATTGAGTAAATTTAAGTTACCGAAAAATTGCTTGAGACATACATTTACAATAATATATTTTATTAACCTGACGAATTTACATGAATTTAGATGGTTCGGTTGGTTTTTGCCAAGTTGCGTCACTTATGGCGTAGGCGAGATCTCCCATCTGTGAACCAAAGAGTATTTACACCGAGCTATATTACCTTATGGCCATAAAACATGACCTTTATAAGTAGAAGACATAGTTAAGCTGCAGGTTCTGATCATATGTATTTTTGAAGAATTTCCAGCCTTTGGTGGAACAACCAAGTGACCAGATTTGAGAATAGGTATATGTTGCCACAAAAATGCTGCGAATCCATTGATATGGTTGTGAATCTTCATCGACTGAGGTGTTTGAGACATGTGTTACGTATGTCTAACCACCACCAAGCTTTCCGCGACCGGTGATTATCAACGTTGGGTGACAGATCGGGATAAGTCACAATGTCGAAGGTTTATTCACCTTTTGTTCTCTCACAAATCTTAAATTTCAAAATTATTTTATACTTATTATTATTCGAGTTCTTCCTATCTTGCAAAACATACTTCCACGCCTAATCTTTTTTACTACGACTGATACTGCTACTTCTACCACTTTGGTATTCATCTTGATTATTTCATCTTTGTGTCGATATGGTACGACAAGTCAGGACGATCCCAATATTTATCAAAAATCCAAGTTACTTATAACCGACTATTAATAAGAATAGTAAACTTATGTTGCTGAAAAGTTCTGAATGGAGATAGTGCCAACCGTTTCACTTATACATGACAATCACTATATTAAGGTCAGAACATAAAGAGCAACTCCATCTTCAAAACTTATCAACGGTTTCTGTCAACTATAAGTAAAATAAGTATAAGTGGAGAAATGTGATTCATTTATGAAAAGTATGTTAAAGCGAAAAGCTATAGTTTATTTCACCTAACAATGAAAATAGATTAAGTTAGATAATTGAAATACTAATTAATAAAGCAATTTCTGTTAAGGACTTTATTCAATAATATACGGTTAGTACAATATGGACCTATCAGCATACTGTATTCGAACAATTTTCTCTTGTTCTACTGATATCACAAAAAAGCAATCGATAAACGTATACAAACGTGAAACAAGTAAATAAATTAACATGTTCATGAATATAGGCTTTGATTAGATCGACTCTTACAACCTGATTGTCACGTAGTCTATGTACTAAAAGCGGTATTGTAAAGTTTTCGTACATTTGCTTGCATGCCTGGATTCTAATTCAGATCAACAGATAATAACTCCATGAATTCATAATAGATTACCACTTTTTATCTTGAACCGTTCACAATACTTTAATATTCCGTGATTATTGTGAACTAACCGAAACAGACGATTTCTAGATGAATATAAAATACGAACTATTCACCTCGATCAATAAAATAGATTACGAGCGACGTGTCGATAAAAATAAGTACTACACTAGGGATAAGTGTGAGAATACTAGAATCTTTTACTAATGATAAAATTAAAAGACTGTAACACATATGACTGATATTAATATGCACCCTCTATAGACAGTTGTTGTAAGACAAGTGTAAACAGACATAAAATAAGGCTTACTTTAATTAAATTCTCAGAAAATAATATTTCTATAGTTTCCTTTAATAAAGGCAAAAGACCACCATGATGTATACCAATACCACGTTTAAGCAATGGTAAGACACTCTCAACTTGTGGTAATGCGCGATCTTCAGGTGAAAGACCATCGATTGCATTGCGGAATACTTCATCAACGACTTTTTTCTCTGCATCTATACACGGAAAACCGATAACAATAAGTAAAGAAATTGTCAACCAACAAATAATAAGGGTGATAAGATTAGAAGCATTAAACCATAAGAAAAAATAAAAAGTGTCACTGTATGTTATTGAAAACATTGGAAAACCTGAGGACCGTTAAGGTTGGGATATCAAATATGAAAAACTGAAAATCATAAAGGTATATGACGGAGAATCTCTATCTACAGTAAGATCGCAAGTAACTTTGATTCCGTACACGGTTAGGGAATATTTCAAGTCACTAAGTTACATACTTTGTACGGTCATGATACAGATGCTAATCCTAAATTTAAGTCTACAGTTACATTACTAATTGTCTGGGTTATTGACTTTCTAACTAGTCTCAACATTAGTAAACAAGACTTGGTGAGGAACATCAAGGATGTAAAGAGAATTGAGGTAACTTTATTTAACGAAACTGTTACTGATGAACAACAATAGGGTAAAAAGGCGATAAAGATAACCAGACACAAAAAGAAGTCTAATATCATTAGATATAATAATGAATACATTTTAACATTAATCCATGAAACATTGCTAAAAGAATTATGAATATTGGGATGGAAGTTACATGAAACACTTAGATTACAACCAAAAAATTTTGAAAAAATAAACATACCAGTAGTGAAATCGAATTTGGCTAATTGGAGTGCATAGATTTCACACTCCTTTTTACTGAAACTAAATACAATTATCGGTTCCAAACTGCGATGTTTGACCAAACGAACAATTTGAATGACATTATTTTCAGAACCTAAAAAAAGCGCACAAAGTAAGTGATTATATAAAGACTAATTACTGGTTAGATAACTTAAGGTATTAAGTGATTACACCACAGAAACTACGTATCATAAATGTTTACGCTATTCAGTAAGGTGTATGTAGAATGCTAGTTACAGTCATGACTTTTGGAAGATCTTGGCCCAAGTGACACAATACTGTAGAAAGTTATGAGTTGAAGTTCTGTACATTCCAGAGTAACTCATACATACTAGATACCAACACTACAAACTATAATACAATTAAAATAATCTAACGAGGAAACAATTTGATATCCAATTGACAAACACACTAGAACACAAAAAGCTTTAAGATGTTCACATTTAGTGAAATTCGGTAAACACAACTCCTGTAGATAATACGCAGTGGAAATTTTTCTAAAGAGAATAAAAACTGGTTTAAACAAATACTATTTTACCAGGCTTTAGATTATCACTTAAAAAAACTAATTATGGATACAAGAATAAGGGGAAAATATTATAAAGAAAGGGGTATTTATACACATCTCATGGATTAAGAAGACTCAGTCCAAACGCTTTAACCAATCCGAGCTACTTCGGGGAATTTATCAGAAATAAAAAAACTGACACCATGAACCCCATATATACTAGCGAATAATATGTTTCATACACTCATTACTCAATGTTTGTAGCGCCAATCGACCAAATCCCGAACTAGTTCATTTTTTAAATAATGAAGGTTGATTAGGAACTTTGCAGGTACTGCTTGCTTACTACTTAACAACTATAATTTCCAACAGATTTTAACTTAATAAGGAAGTATGACAATTTGTGTAAACAGTATGCGCCATTTTTGACATTATTTAATTGTTAGGAATCGAGGTATATGACAATGATTTAAAATGATTTCAGATAAATCAGATACATCTTAGAGCATATATTATGAAAAAATAGGTGACCCACGTTTATTAAAATCAACTTGTGACTTTTGTCTTTTATTTGATGATTCATCCGAAAGGAACGAGCGCATAGCTCGTTCAAAATTTTGCTCCAAATATTTACCCTATAAGAAAACATTTAAATAAGCTGATATAAATCACAAAAGACGAGGATATATACATAATTTCTTATTTTTTATTCATTTCCGCTTAGGTAGGGGGGCTTACATTAACTCAAAATAGTTCAAATCAAATATCAGTATTCCCTTAACAAAGTACACGTTTCCGTTTGATCACCTTGATGCTTTTACCACTGGTATTTCAATTTCATAAAATACAACATTGTGCAAACAAAACGTTAAAACCCGCTTAGCACTGACACATGTAAAGTTAATTCTTTACACATGTTACTCGAAAAAAGTCTAAAAAGTTGTCCAGTATAAGTGTTATTCACGGAAGTGAGAGGACGAAAAGCGAATGCCCAGCGCTTTAACCGGGTCACAAACCAATGGTGCACATGGGCTCCAGTATCCCGAAGGAACAAATGGCGTATGAACCAATCGTTGGTCACCAGCTACCATGGGATCGCATCTCCTCACGATGCTCCACTGCCTTGTGGATCTTACCTACAGGTCGAAGGTTCGGGGTGTGGCCCACTATGAAAACCACCTGCTTCGGTTTGGGTTCCCGGGCAGTATCACAGCCCACACATAAATCGAATGATTAATGTGGCGCATATCTGTTTGGTGCCTTTTTGTACCAATGTTCATGTGTTTACATGATGATAATAATAAGGTTTGAACCTAGTTTGGTTCGGTATTTCGATTGCAACGGAAGCTGCTGTCAATTCGTCTACATTAACTCATTAGAGACGATGAGACGTAAGACAAGATTGGAGGAAACCGAAAAGAGCACCATTTTTGAATACGACCATGCCAGCGGTAGCTGATCGCTATGTTATCAATCTGAGTATCAACTTCAGTCATCGGAGGAACCCCACGCAGTATATCGTCGATAACCATCCCGGGATTGGGTGCAAGCCAGAAAAAGATTGAGGTTTGTGCAAAGATCCTGGAGATCGGCATCACTATCTAACCTTTGACCAACAAGTTCCCGTCTGCCACTCCAGCGACTCGCTTCTGCGTCAAACTCAAGATAAAAATCATACCTCACTTTAATAAAGTACGTCAAATAAGATCTCACCTCGTCTAATACGAGAAACAAACCCTCACTACCCACAGGATATAGATAATGGCGTAGTGGTACAGGACGGCAGTCAGATGAAACAACATGACATGGTTGGTGGTGAAGGTGAGCGATCCATTCAGCAAACTGGCGAGCATTTGGAATAGTAGCACTAAGAAACACATAACGAACATTATCTGGTAAAAGCACTATAGTTTCTTCCCAAACCACTCCACGTTCAGGGTCACGCATATAATGAATTTCGTCAAATATAACCCAACCGACCTCTCGCACCATTGAAGCACCTCTGAGAAATAAAAATAGAACTTATCATTAAGTTTGAGGATATTTATATTAAACAATATATTTGTTAAAGCTGATTAACCTCCACACAATGGATGGAACTTTTAGCATTTAAACACGTACATAGTGGTTAATTCTTACTATTATTCACCTGGTTCAAATTATATATTTGAATGAAGTTCAGCTAGTCATTTGAATATGGAGATTAAAGTTACCAAAATCCAATTCAAATTCGAGCTCAATTAACCAGATAAAAACAAAAATTTATAAACAAATCGCTGCTTAATAGTACGATATTCAACAGAATTTAGAAACAAATTTATTGTTTTTCCTTTCACTTTCGGAGTGCAATTTCACTTAGCAACCTACATCGAGGAAAATAGGAGTATTTTAAGCTGTTATTTGCTAGCTGTCGCCGATTTGCCAGATTAAATACAGAGAGTGGTGACACGTTTGTCACTCGATTTGCTAGAGTGCTAGTTAGGTGGGTGAGATATCCGACAGTCGACCAAAAAGTACTCCATTTCCAGACATTTTAATATCATAATACGTATGCTTCAAAGGTAAGGATATATGTAGATTATATATATACTGAGATCATGTTATATGATAGAACCATCGAATGTTAAAATCAAGAACAATATTATAGGTAAGAAGGGAGTCTGTAGTCTATGATGGCATTCACTAAGACCAGATGATTCGGTTTTGTATGATGATTGGAGTTGAGTCCATCACACAAACTGTAACTGAGACCTATTTACGTAAGACCATGTTGCCAACACTTACTGCCATGCTACTCTTTTACAAGAAATAATTGAAGTAGTTGACACAATTATACGTAATAATAAGTTAGGTAAAAATGACGATCTCACTTATACAACATGGATTGAAGGATTTCTGTGGTCATGATAAGTACACTAGCGCTGGGATTGATTGTAGCATCACCTGTAAGTAATCCTACTTCCGGGAAGGCCTCGAAGAATTCTCTGTACTTCTGATTGCTAAGTGCTTTAATAGGAGTAGTATAAATTACACGTTGTTTTTCCCGTAACGCTGTTGCGATCGCATATCTAAAATAACGCGATAAATGGATAGTTTGATGACAATATAGAAAAGCTAAGAAAGATATTAGTCAAATGTTCAAGGATTATGAATCTTTCATTCCATCACAATGTACCTCCGTCAAAACATTTCCCAGAATGGTAGAGCTGGGGAACATTGTTTAACTTAGTAACGGGTTTGGAACAGTGAAGTGGCAATATTATTCGCTCAATCTGATTACCGTGTTTTTGTAAATACCTTTTAATTATCCAATGGAGTTTGAAGAAACATCTTCCAAAAAAAAATTCCCGAGGAAAACCTGTCCAATAAGTCACTGAAAATACAAAGATTATTGGCGTTTAATACACGTATGAATAATTCGTAACTTCAACTTCAATGACAATGAACGAGACTGCTTTCTATCCTTATCTCCTCTGCCCGTCGACAGAAGAGTGAAGTTCAAGATTGTCTAGAAGCTTTATTTAGAGATCTAAAAAGATTAATTCACATTCGAATACACTTCAATATACAGAGATTACAATCAGTAAAGAAATCATCGAAATGATCAGCCACAACACAGAATTAGTATAATTAAGTATTATACTGAACAGAAATCAAACAAACGAAAAAACACATTGCATTAATTGACATAAATTAATCTTATACTGGGCAAAAAAGTTATACTGAAGTGATCCAAAAGTCAAATAAACAGAAATCATACTGAGTTAAATTGAAAACCAACTAAATGGACAAAACATCTAAATTAATATATAGTCTTTCACAATTTCTTCTAACTAGACTATATTGGAAAATTTAAGATCTTCAACAGTGACAGCAATTCCGGACCAGCAGAAGTGTGCAGATAATTATTAACTCATCTACGACCTGGTTCTTGTGAGTCAGTCTTTTGACAATCTGCATAATTTTCGCAGTACGAGTCAGAATATCGGAAATATCTAATGGTGGAATTATACTCTGATGGTTAGTACAAATTCATAGGTTCTAATTACTTACCTTTTACTGTCTATTTAATCTCACAAACTCCATTGAATTTGGTAAGCTAAATTATTCTACCTGATGAAATTAGATGATTGGATGATAAAACTGATTGCTGATTGGCTAAGGATGCTCAATATGTTCTTATTACTGTTAATCTTAGTGGATCTATTAATAACCATGAGATTTACGAACTAGAAGCACTATGAATTCACGTAAACACTATGAAGTATTATTATTTATTTTTAATTGCTTTATTTTTAGTCTACCAACTTACTGAGTCACATCTGATCTAGACGTATGAACACGTACCCACTTATATAAGGTTGGATGAGTTAGATTTTCCTCAAACACTAGTTCCTTAACTGTCTTATCTTCATTTGGTTTTCTAGCTCAATTTAGATTTTTAGTTAGTTCCGAGTACACTAATAGACAAACAACAATAAAGGTTCAGCACCTGCTTCACATATATGGATTAAGCGAAATTGTAAAAAAACGACTAAAAGCATGAAGACTAAGTATAGGTGTTGAATGATTACCTTGAAATGAGTATGAATTGTGTTCGAAATATTATCCAGTAAAGGCATTACTTCATTGTGAAGTATAAATAAATAAACACACCAACACAATTGACACTAACCCAATGCCTATGTTTCATACATATTACGAGCACTTGGATTAAATTTCTATAGTTGTAAAGACAATTTACAAATGACTTGATGCATAGTTAAATCATGCGGAAATCAAACATTTTTATACGAGTTGATTATCACTGATATTAGACATTTTAGAGAAAAAAATGTCAACTTACAACTTCGGATATTAGTCTCAAAACCCGGTAAGATAACACATGAATACCAAAAGCATATATATTTAATAACACCAATACTTGCACAAATTACCCACAGGCTGACAACATGAAAATTTTGAGGTCTAACTTGAAATATACGTTATAGGATTCGAGAACTGGACTAGTTTTAGTGATCCCGCGATTAAATAAACAATAATTTACTGAAAACTCTAAATAAACTCTTTAGATATAGTGTTGAATCACGCGGAATGTATAAATCCTCACTATATATACTAATAAAATAAAATCGTTAGTATAAAACTTACTCAGCTACAACAGTTTTACCAGCTGACGTATGAGCTGATAAAAGCACTGACTGATTATTATCAATACATATGATTGCTTGTTGCTGAAATGCATCAAGCGTGAAGGGAAAAGTTTTCGCTGGAAATCCACAATCTTTAATAATTGGTTTGTATTCAATATCAGGAGGAACAGCCACCTTTAGAGAAAAAAAGACATACGACACAAGATAAAAACTACCTCGTGTGTACATGTTTCGGGTGAACTGATTTTATGTATTTGTATTCTGGGAGCATTAAATTCTAGAGTATCACTAACAGATAGTTTTGAACGTTTGGGAGAATCATCTGTAGAATCTTCCTCTACTTCTTTCAATAAGGGTTTGAGTGACGCTTCTGCTCTGAAGATAAAAAAGTACTTAACATTAAGTACAATAGCAACTTTACAAATTTGATTACTGTGAAAACAACAGAAAACCTTGGGAAAATATTGAATATCCCTGAGATTTGACACTAATGTGAAAGAATTATGTCACATTTTCGTTTGCTTTTTCGTCAAACAATCGAACGGACTGACTTAACGAATTCGCTGTTAAATGAAACGAGTTATTTTGGGTTGAAAGGCAGCCAGTCTTACAATTGTCATTAAAGCAACACCCACAGAAAGCACTAGCTTCTTGCATTACACGTCAAGGAATGGTGAAGGTTAAAATGACAGGAACTGAATTAGGAGTTTTAAATGATAAAAATATGTTTGGAATTAAACTTAAGATTACTAAGCCATGCTTTAAAAAATATAGTTTGAACACACATGTAATATAAGCACTTCTATAGCAAACATGGTCTAAATCCTAATGCTCTCAGCTACTACATTGTAATCGAAATTCGTTCTCTCAGTGATGGCATATATATAAAGGAGTATAGTCAAAGTAAACGAAGTGGTTATGTAGTAGCGTTTTCAAACTTACTACTTGTGACGAATATCTTCTATATCAAACATGACCAGGAAAATCGGCAATGAAATACCAACCGACCTTAATGCAAAGGAAGTTGGTAATTTCGTGAAATACGCAAGTAAAAGCAACAAAAGGTTCGGTGATATTCTAAATCGATCTTAGATGTCAAAAAAGATAACAATGAATACAAACTACGTGGAAAATACGGGAGAAATGTGTTAAAAATGTAATAGAAACCATTAGAGAAAAATCATAAACATATATCAGAGGGAAAACAGAAGATATAGCACAATAAGCCGTTTTAAGCTTAAAATCGGGCAAACAGTGGGTAGATATTCAACACAGTAACCTCACAAGTTCAATTAATGATCTAAGGGGTGATGTGGTCTTTAGTCATTAAATCTACAGTACCCAAATGTATAGAACGCTAGCCAAGTTTTATAAATCGGTAAAACCAGAAACGTCAAAGTTCGAAATCGAATGTAATATACCGTATTACTTTATAATTTACTTATAGTGAGGCACTTATCACAACTATAATTATAGTTACAATCACGATAAAATATAATCTTAAAATAAAGCTTTACTTGCTAATAGCATTAACACCACACAGTTGACTTTATTTTCATAGGTATGGGAAAACAAAACTTAAGACGTATTCATTAAGATCCAAGTAACCATGCAATAGAGGTTCTTAACTGAGCTATCTAATAAAACATTGTTAGTTTTCTTCGTTACGTTAAGTTTATGCTGTAGATCATTTATAATGCACCAAGACCACTGTTTTCACTTTAATTGGATTTATTTGAGTTACAGTAATACCAAGAGTTTTGTTTTTTAAAGAATTTTTTCGCATCTGTACTCTTATTGAGTACAACAAATTTTTGTGCGTAGTACTTTTTGAACCTAACAGTTCGTGACTCGCTTTCTGCCCAACTTTTTCGATCATCAGTTTTTGCTTCAGTGCTTCTTGTCTAATTTATCTGAAAAGATTTGATTGTTGACTAGTGTGAAAAAAATCAGTTGTCAATGGCCCTGGTTGCCGAGACCCGATGGATGGTGGTACAAAGTGAAAAGAGTGGTACCACGAAATCTGCACAAATTTAAAACCTGTAGCTTTAGAAAGGTTTACTAAACCCGGGTCTGTGTGGTTTTGCCACCAGTGCTGCTCAAACGCAGAGCTTGCAGTCAGAAACCGTTGCAATAGTGAATGATGCACGTTAACAAACGCAACTGAGACGAGTCTGATGATTCTTGCAGTATAAATATACAAATCGATGTGCAGTCATCTCAGGTGGCCTCGAAGTAGATTGACACACGTGAGCAGAAAAAAGAAAGACCAAACTCGAAGAGGTCTGTAAGAAATAACTTAACGAAGGTTTCTTTTGTGTCTTGTACTCCAAATGGCAACAATCAGGAAAATTCCAGCAAACCCAGTCGTAAGGCTTTGTCTGTTTCTAGAAGGAAAAATAGCATAAGTCATAACCTGATCACCCAAAATGACAGTAATCCTCTAAGGTTTCGCAAGGTAATGTGATGCAACTGGGGTTGCGACTCCACTGAGAAGTGATAAATGGATGCAAAGTAAGAATAAGAAACGACCTGTTATAAAAGAAAAGCTTGTTTCCCTAATCATAGTTAAGATGTCAAAGTCTGATCAAAGTGATATGTTAGTTACCTTTTATAAAGTAAAGGAAAACGAGAGAACAGCCCAAAACTCGCTTTGACCTAGATATAGGGTTGATAAAATGTCTCGTTAACCAGCTAATGCCTCAAAATATCTCTGGGGTCAACTTGCTAGAAATCCATAAAATAGGTAGCCAGATAGACATAAAAGAAAATCAAACCAGGTGCTGAAAGTGGTATTTAAATCCTTTAAATGTACGGGACTTAATACTACAGAATGGAAATAAGCAAAAGAGACCAGGAGTTTTTGTCTGTAAAGAATTGTTGCTACCTGACCATATGAAAAATTGAGAGGCTGAGAAAGAACTAAAACCAAGATATGGTGTATGTGAAAATGACCAAAAAATTGTAGATTTCCGAATAAGGCCCTGACAGAGAATGATCCTGAGGTCACTTTGGTTGCAGCAAGAAACCATTTAAACGGTCTTCAGATCTGTTACACAAATGCTTAGAGCTTGTTCAACAAGCGACCGGACCTAAATGCACAGATAGATTATACCAGACCAAAAATAATCAATGTCACAAAAAATCAAATCAGCCAATCTGAGGACAGTGAGGAAATTAATTTTGGAAATTTCACATTGGTAAGAGCCGATAGAACCCAGAAGCTTGAAGGAGGAAGAGTAGCTTTATCCATTAGAAATACTATTCCTTTTACCGTTATTTGATAACATCTCATGAAACTAAAATGTGTGAAACAGCTTGAGGTACTCTGTTAGTGCACCGCACATTACTTGGATTACACCGAGGAATTAGAACTCCACAGTAAGGAGGTTCGCAACCTCATCCGTAAGAGGGAAAGAATGTGGGAGAGATTCAGATTAATTATTACTGATGAGACGAAATCTCAACATCGGGAAGCACGAAACATTTGTGGCTAGACTCTATGCAAGTTTAAAAAGCTATAAAGAAAAGCTTGTTAATGAGTTTATAGAGTACCCTAAACGCTCATAATCGCACATAAGCCAAAAGATTGAGAGAAGAGGCAACAACCCAGTATTATGAGACAGAAATGCCACATCACTAGTGCAGGACGATTGTAGTACTGCCCGGGCATTCTCAAATGACTTTAGCAGTGTATATACCGAGGAAATACCCTCTCCTCCAGTTTGTACAAACCCCCATGCACACTTATTATTTTATTATAATTTAATTTTAACACAGGTATTGGTACAAGGAGGCACCAAATACATATGCGCCACACAAATCTCAATTGATTTGTGTGAGGGCTGTGATACTGCTCGGGTGCCCAAACCGAAACAGGTGGTTTTCTTAGGGGGCCACACCCCGAGCCTTCGACCTGAACGTCTGATCCACAAGGCAGTGGAGCATCGTAAGGAGATGCAGTCCCATGGTAGCCGGTGACCAACGATTGGTTCATACGCCATTTGCTCCTTCAGGATACTGGAGTATATGTGCACCATTGGTTTGGGATCCGGTTAAAGCGCCGGACATTCGCTTTTCGTCCTCTCATTTTCGTAAACAACACCCCCGCCACATGAAGGCAGTGGCGGACACTATGACCATAAAAAAACTCGATATTTTTGGTCTAATAAATAAGCCTGATACAGGCAAATCTATGGAATAGATCCAAAGGAATTAGCGAATTTTATCGCAAATACCTTAAGCATATAATTTAATTTATGTGCAACCCAAGGTGGACTAAAAGATTGGAAGTACGCCATAGTAAGCCCCGTATAAAAAACAGGTACAAGACACAAATCTGAGAACTGTCGACCCATAAGGCTAACCAGAGCGGTTGTTAAGATTTTATGAAAAGCTTTTCGGAAGTTGTTTAAATATCTAGACGAAAACCTGGTTCTTTCTGAAAAACAGTACGGTTTTATAACAGCTTATTCGTGACTCTTAAACTTATTAGCAGATCGTCAAAGTTGGTGTGCTCTTAATTAGCAAAAGCTACCGACAGATACAAGCTTCAAATTCAAGCTTCTGGGTTCTCTCGGCTCTTGCTAAATGTTAAATTTCCAAAATTAATTGACTTCAGTAAGGTTGTTGGGGACGATAGATCCCCAAAAACTCATAGTTGTAATTTTATCTTGTGGAGCTTGTATGCAGATGTATACGTGGGCATTTCTTACAGCCCACGCACATAGTTGATTGACGAATTTAGCGATTAAATGTTTAAATATTTCAATGGCAGTCAATTGACGAACTTATTGATTAAATGTTTAAAAGCTCCATGGCAATATCGATATATATATATATATATATATATATATATATATTTGTATATATACGTTTTAGAATTTTCTTGAGAAAAAAAGGTTGCTCGTTTCTGGTTTTTGCAGAATATACTTCATTCCAAGCTTGGTCTTCTCTCTCTAGATAACGGGGCTGGGAAGCGTCAATAGTTAGCTTACTGGTCGTTGGTCACTGAATCTCGTTCTCGTTCGCGAATCGGGTGAACTCGTTAAGCTTCAAACCTAACAAATGTTTTTGACAATTTTCTGGACGACAGTAATTATCTAGGTTGAGATATCGGGATTGAAGGTAACTTAGTGATGTAGATTAAGTATATCCTAGTTGCGCGTCAAAAAAGAGTACAGATTGACTCCAAGCTGTTTAGCTGAGAAGCTATGCGTAGAGAAGTTCTCCAGTGCACCGTTTTGGGGCCGGTATTACCCCTCCTGTATGTAAATGAACTTCTTAATATCTTTACACTAGTAACCTTGTATGCTGACGATATCAGTCAGTTATCTACAACGTAGGACAGGGCACATATTTGCATCGGTCCAAGT